TTCAAAAATACGTACCGTATAGAATTTCAAGCGATTTTTTTGCTGTTTGAAAAAGTACATGCAATTGAAAAAACTCTGAAACGATTATGAGAAATTCTGCACAAAATCATGAAAAATTTGTGCTCATTGATTTCAAATTCCTTTAAAAAGAACAAAATTACGTTTTTTTTTTCTGCCCTAGGAAAATATGAAGAATCTTTGAATATTGACAGAGAAAACAAAACTACTTTTAATTTGACAAACAATTTTGAGTTGTTCATTAAAGAGTAAAACCATTTATAAAAAAGTATGTTCAAAAATATTATTTTTATTTATTAGCTTTTATGCATCCACACTAAAGTTTTGGATGGATTTAGACACCACTTATTAAATCCGAAGAAATAAAGGTTTAAAGATCTAATATCGGTAGATATACAAAAAAGTCACCCAAATAGTTTTACTTATTAAAATGTCCACATCTTCCTCTAATTAAAAAGTTTCGGAATTTGGTAATGGTAAATGGAAAATGTGTGCTGGAATTATTCAAAATCATTATTTAATTTGAATAGCTTGGAATAAATACGGTTCTACATACAGTGCAGAATTTTTGGTGGATAATTTTCTAAAAGTATAAAAAGATATTGAAAGATGAATTCATCTATATTTTATATGAACAATGCTTTATAAGGCGCAATTTACATGAAGACTTTTCAGACGTCTGTTTTTTCCAATTCTCTTTTGAGAATCTTCCAAAAAATCATGAACATTTATACGGTGATTTTTTACATGCAACTATGCATGTCTTTTTTTGATGTTTAATTGTATAATCCTTTTTAATTACTTATTCGTAATAAAAATAAAATGAAATTTTTAACATAAAAACCATTTAATTTGATTTAAAAAAATTTAATTACACGCTATAGTATTTTTTTAATGCAAATTTTAATGTTTTCATGTAAAAAAAAGACATAATTATTTTTTTACATGAGCATAATATCAACAGTACGAATGAGTTTAAAGAGGAATGTCAAAAACAATCATGAAAATCCCAAATCATGTTTGTTTTCTTACCCCCCATTCTTCTCTACCCCGCTCACCACCAATCATCGACAAACATGAAAACAGACGTCTGGGCAAACATGAAAAAAAATCATCGTGTAAATTGGGTGTATGCATCGTTTCAGAGGTATACCTATATAAGATTTGCAAAAGTGCTGTCTTTCAGGACACTATAATGAGTAGTCAAATACATATGATGGTTTTTCAGATTTGAGATGCATTTAAAAAATGGCAACCGAATTTATATCAAGATAATTTTTTTGATGGTTTTTTAACTTATTGCAGATTTTTATTGTTATCTCGATTTAACAATAAATTTAAATTTTATATTTTTGTATGAAAAATATGAGTGATTACGGATCTTTATTTTTTCTCGAATTGAAATTTATTTAAAGTAAATTTTTAAAGAGTTTTATAAATAGAAATTTTAAGGGGAGATATAAATGATTTTCTAGATGGATTTGTAGATTTAAATTTAAAACTCGAATTTTTGTGAAAAATTTAATATGAATATATTATTTGCCCTATTTTAGAAACGGTTTTTGTTCAGTACTGCATACAAAAGTGACATCGTAGACATTCATTAAAGATCTAATATAGTTATAGTTTTTTGTTCAGCACTGCATACAAAAGTGGCATGGTAGACATTCATTCAAGATCTAATATAGTTTATAGTTTTCCCGATCGCAGGAAACTACATCCAATTCTCTTTTAAACTTGTTATTTTCTGAGGATATACAGCAAATTAAAGGTTTTGAAATAAAAATAGTTTACCGGTAGAAAATATAAGTGATGGGAGTAATATATACATATCTACAACAATATAACTTTGATAAAAATTTCCGATTCTGTTTTAAAATAGTTTTTTTTTTTTGAGGATATGCAGCGGATTACAGGTTTTGAAATAAGAATAGTTTTCGCGTGGAAAATATAAGTGATGGGGTATACGAATCCACAACCGATTACAGATTTTTATTTTACCTAATCGTAAAGTAAGTTAAGGACCAACAAATATTTTAAAGTTTTCAAATAAAAATAAATTTTTGATTAAAATTTTAACTACCTAAATAATAATTCTCATATATATATAATTCTCATATACTATCATGAGCCTTATAAATGTAACAAAAAATGGACGGAAAAAGGTCATTACATTTCATTAAGATCACAACAGTCCCGAAATTAGTGGTATAGGTGTATTTATTCGGATTTAATGTATTAAACAATCTCTTCCTCAAACTAACCTAACCTTCCACGATAGAACTGTTGTCATGCAAAATTTCATGAAGCATAAAATCCAGATCAAAAAGTTGATTCTAAAAATACACTGTCTGTTGCCAAATTTCTTGAAAATCGGTTCATGTTTTTTTATATTTAGCCTAGAAATTTGGTGTTATAGCTGTTATTCAAAAAGTGAACATAAAAATGTGCATAGCATCCAATCAATACAATATAGAGTTTTTTTAACTTCTGAGGTTAGACCTATTAAATGCCAAATTTTATGTAAATAAGTTTATTAGTTATGTAGTGAAAGAGTAAAAAAGTCTTATATTTATTATTATATATTATAGGTTTTGAAGATGTAATGTGTCGTACTGTTCATTCCACAACATTCATTATAACAGATTTCATGAAAATCGGATCAGTAGTTTTTTGTATGCCTGAACGTAAATTTGGTTTAATAATTGTTTTACAAAAAGTTGGTGTAAAAGGGGCGTAGCGTCCGATCCAGATCCTGAGATCGGTATACCAAATTTCATGTAAATCGGTTTAGTAGTTTTTCCGTGAAAGCGTAACAAACAAACACACAAACAGTCTGTTTTATATATATATATATATAAATATATATATATATATATATATATATATATATATATGTATATATATATATATATATATATATATATATATATATATATATATATATATATATATATATATATATATATATATATATATATATATATATATATATGATTATGTATTATAGGTTTTGAAGATGTTATTGTTCGTACTGTTCATTCCACAAGATTCATTATAACAGATTTCTTGAAAATCGGATCAGCAGTTTTTTGTATGCCTGAACGTAAATTTGGTTTAATAATTGTTTTAAAAAAAGTTGGTGTAAAAAGTGGCGTGGCGTCCGATCTTTCCAATCTTATACCTATCGGTATGCAAAATTTCAGGTTAATCGATTTAGTAGTTTTGGCATATTGTGATTGCAAAATTGGTGTAATAATAGTTTTACAAAGAGTGGGCGTAAAAAGGGGCGTGGCATCCGATCAAGATCTTATATAGCCTATTGTTCGTCTTGGGGTTAGACCTATTAGCGGTCCAAATTTCATATAAATCGGTTCAGTAGTTTTTGACAACCTAAGACTTAAACCGCATTATAAGTTTTTAAGAATCTGGAAGTTTATTTTTTTATTTTCGCGCCACTAAATTGTAAATTTCTCCCACAGTGTGTCAGTTGCAATAGTAGTTCGACTGTTATGTGCGTGTGCTGCTAAAACAGAAAAATATATTTTGATTGTCTTGAAATATTTTGCGTCTGCTAAATGAAATTGCAAACAGAACAAATATTTCTAGTAGTAAAGTGATGGAAAATTTTCAAAGTTTTATATTTATTGCATAGTCGTACAAAAGAAATCTTGTGCTATTGCTGCATATTTAAACGCTGGTTTTTCGCTACATTGACTATACTAAATATCTACAACATGACAGTGCAGGTCCACCATCTCTGTCTCTTTTCCACTTGCACAAGGTATTGAAATGTAATTTTTTGTGGTAAATTTTTGATGAAAAACAATATTAAATGAAATTTTAGAATAAATAGAAGTTATTATTCAATGATATTACTTTTTAATAAATGTAAACACATATATTTTTGGCTTTTGGTTTGTTTGCGCAGTTCTTGTTATGTTCCTCTTTGCCTGCAAACAAAATCTTGTTTTTTTTCTGTTTTATCCGTCAATTGTTTTAAGAAATTATTTGTTGTAATGTGAACACCGGGCAAACAAATTTTCACTATTTGTATTGAATTGTGTTTGGCTTTGTTTCTTCAAACAAAACGTCAAAACAGAAATACTCATTTTAAGCACATTATGAAATAAAAATTATTTAATTGTTTGTTTATAGTCAGAAATTTCTATGAAATTGTAAAAAACTATTATAAAAATTCAATTAAATCGTTTTTTTTAACGTTAAACAAAAATTTTTCATGTTTGGTGTTCACACTGTGTTGACATTGGGAAAATATTTATAGGTTGACAAATAAAAATGTTTCACGAAAAACAGCTGATATTTTGTTTGCTTTTCAAAAATATTTTGTGTCACATTACAGCTAACAAATATTTGATAAAAAACGTCAAATATTTGATAGGTGTGAACGTAGCTTTACGTTTGTTTTTATACTCTGGCAACAATAATTATTTGAAAATTTCTGACAACATCGAAAAAAATATGATTTTATTTTTTTAATTTTTTCATATACATGGTTTTTGGTACAAGCATCAAGAATGTTGAAAATCGTAAAAATCTGTTTACTCCCGTACAAAATTATATAAATTTTATAACTCATCATGTTTGCCATACATTTTTCACACACATACAAATTATTTTAAATATTTAACATAGGTTAACATTTGTTAAATTTAGTATGTTCTGTAACAGTCTGTTAAGTTGTAGTTCTGTTTTTAATGGCATATTGTAAGGCGTAATGGAAGTATGTAAGTGTAAAATGTTAAGGTAAATTTGAATCAATCCTTAAAGTTTTATGATTTATGCAAAAAGTGAAGGGTATCTAAGATTCGGCAAAGACGAATATAGTACTCTAATATATTCACTAAGGTGAATGGTATATAATATTCGGTACAGCCGTATATGGCACTCTTACTTTTTTCCTTATGATTTGATTTTTAAAATATAATATCATATGTCATTGTAACAGTTTATTATAATACCTCTGAATGTTTAAGATGTGTTGCGCTAAATCTCTCATCACTGCTATATGTGGTCAATCCAACAGTTAATAAGTGATAGTCCTTTTTTCTGATCCATGAAACCTGCAAAGATATATTTTTTTAATAGAAATAAAGCACAGATGGACGTGTTAAATTTAAGTTAGAAGTAGTGTTTTTTAATATTTCAATTCTCGAATTATTTTCTTTTGTTTTATGTAATATTTTTAACAAAAATAATATAGTATAGTTCTTGTGGAATAAAACAAGTTATTTTAACACAAACTATTTCTAAAACTAATTTTATTTAGATTAAACTTTAATGTAACAAACAATTATAAATTTACGATGTCAGAAGTGTTTTCCACAGCTGTAGCAGCAAAGACAACGCGAGGAATAATTTTCTGTTTTCTTCTACTTCTATTTTCCGACGTGTTGCCAGACTCATTACCTTCACGAGCTGACGGTCTTGGGGCTGCCACATCCACTCCCTCTCCAGTGACTAAGTCAGGAACTGTTTGGAACGATCCACTTTCAGCGGCGATAACTCCAGAATCAGTGGAAGTCTCGTAATGGGGTGATGCTGTAGGTTGTTGTGACTGAAGGTTTTGTGAATTTAGTTGTTGCAAATTGTCCTATAGAGTATCGTTGATGATAAAGGCTGGTTTCAAGCTATCTACGCTAATGTTAACATCTTTACCTTTAATTTTAATGGTGTATAAACGATCAGATAAACGTTGAATAACCTCATACGGGCCGGTGTAAGGCGTTTGAAGTGGTTATCGAACTGCATCGGTGCGTAGGAACACATGACTACAATCATCAATATTTTTCAAAGCAAACATTTTTCCTTTGTTATGATGAGCTGTGGGTGTTGGTCGAAGAACATCAAAATGGTTACGAAGTTTTTTAAGAAATTCATCGGAATTTACTGTGTCGTGGAGTTGGCGAATCCTGGCCCAACGCGAAGATTGAAATCGTCCCACTGGACCAAGTACCTTTTCGTACGACGGTGAGAGTGTGGGTTCCTCCTCCTATTCTGGAGGACAAATCCATACTAACACTAATTAAGCGTCAGAATAAGGAACTTGGCACTGACGACTGGACGATAGAACGAGGACGCACGAGGGACAAGGGAGAAGGCAAGGATCTCTGGATCAAAATTGGTTCAGAATCCCTCCGACTCTTCGTTCCTCTCAAGGCGTCATAAAATACGGGCTCAACCAACTTCGGTTGATCTTGCCCGCAGAGAAACGCAGTGATGAATCCAAGCGGCCTGAGGGTGGTACAGATTAATCTGCACCACTCCGAAGCAGCAACGGACGACTTGCTGCGCTTTATGGAGAAGGAAGTTATCCACGTGGCCTTAATCCAGGAACTCTGGCTTGCAGCCAGTAAAGTTCGAGGCGTCCGGTCACGAAACTATGTGCTCCTCTCTCCAATCCCTGAAGGTAAAATAAGGAGCTGTATTTTGGTCAGGAAAGACATTAAAGTTTTCCTTCTATCTAATTACAGTTCTGGGGCCATGATCTTGTCATGGGATGTGATGCTAATGCCCATCATACTCTGTGGGGAAGCTCGGATATTAATGACAGGGGTGATTGGTTACTTCAATACCTTCTAACTACTAACCTTAGTGTATGCAATAGAGGTAATAGACCAACGTTTTTCAATAGGATCAGAGAACAGGTCATTGATATTACTTTGGTAGGGAACACTGACTCAGTCAGAATTCTGGATTGGAGAGTATCACTCGAGTGCTCATTCTCCGATCATCACAGAATAATCTTTACGATACAGCTTACGATGGCTATGGAAAACGCCTTTAGAAATCCTAGGAAAACCGACTGGGTCAAATTCGGTAATCTGATTGATACCATACCACCTACGGAAACGGATGGTATACAAGACTTGGACGACTCAGTAGATTATCTATCCAGGACTTTAAGGGAAGCCTACTATGCTTCATGTAGGGTGCGGCAGGTACCTAGGAAATTCCGGCAACCATGGTGGAATCTTAAACTAATGCAGCTAAGGAAAGAATGTAGGAAACAATTTAATAAAGCGAAGAGGGATCAGAACCCGTTAAGCTGGGACGGTTATCGTCAAAGCTTCAATACTTTCAAGAGGGAAACCAGAAGGGCTAAGAAGGAATCCTGGAAGCGTTTCTGTGAGGATCTGGAGAGTACCACGGAGGCATCACGTCTACGCCAGGTGTTATCCAAAGACCCCGGTACGCCTGAATTCCTGATGGAACCGGATGGCAACTTTACTGAAAGTAGCACCGAAACTCTGGAACTGCTTATGGAGACACACTTTCCGGGTTGCAGAGATGATGAAAATGAAGGCTCCACTTTGGAGCACCTCGCAGCTTCTCGAATCCACATAAGTGAATTATTCAATTCCATTGTTAGTATGGAGAAAATTTCGTGGGCGATGTCATCCTTCAAGCCCTATAAATCCCCAGGGCCAGATGGCATATTCCCAGCACTACTCCAAAAATCGATCACCACCATCATGCCATGGCTAATTATGATATTTAGGAGCAGCCTGGAAACAGGATATATTCCTAAAGTATGGGGAGAGGTTACAGTGGTATTTATCCCCAAAGCGGGAAAAGTAAATCATAATACCGCCAAAGACTATAGGCTGATCAGTCTGTCATCGTTTTTATTGAAACACACGCTTACCTGAAAGGAAGATCGGTGCAGACAGCCTTACATGACGTTGTCGGAAATATAGAGAAGGCACTTGACATAAAAGAATATGTTATGGCATCTTTCTTAGACATTGAGGGTGCGTTAGTCGATGCACTGAGTGACCTAGGTGTTGATCAGCGGATAAGAACTGGACAGAAAACATGCTTAAGAGTAGGGCCATCAACTCTAATATGGGTATTGGCAAAACAAGGAAAGTTGTGATAAGGCACACCACAAGGTGGTGTCATCTCTCCACTCCTGTGGAATCTTGTCGTAAATAAAATCCTTTTTAGACTCAGTAGGATGGGCTTCAAAGTAGTCGCATATGCTGACGACGTCGTGCTTCTTATTCAAGGGAAGTTTCTTCCCACAATAAGTGAACTCATGGAATCAGCCCTCAGCGTTCTACTATCATGGGCCAAGGAAAACGGTCTGGGTGTCAACCCGGCCAAAACTGAACTGGTTCTTTTCACCAGGAGGTACAAAATTCCAGAATTCAGACCTCCGCGTTTGGATAGTACCATTTTGAACACCTCAAGCGAGGCCAAATATCTCTAAACTCACGTGGAAACGTAATGCTGAAAGTCGAATAAAGAAGGCATTATGTGCCTTCTATATATGTAAGAAAACATTTGGGAAAAGATGGGGTCTTAAACCATACATTGTGCACTGGATGTACACCGCGGTCATAAGACCTATTTTGACCTACGGAGCTCTTGTTTGGTGGAGAGCAGTGGATACCCAGACTCATCTCTCTATTCTAAACAAGGTACAAAGATTAGCATGTCTTGCAATCACTGGCTGTTTGAGCTCCACCCCTCAGGCTAGCCGAGAGACGATGCTAAACATAACTCCCCTTGATATATACATCAAATGCATTTCTGCTAAATCTGCTCTACGACTTAAGCAGTCGAACGGGTTGAAGCACGACCGCATTGGTCATGGCACCATCCTACAAGAGATAAGCAGGCCTATCATGGGGCAGGAAACAGATTACATTCTATCTACACTGAATTGTAATAGGTCATTCAAGACCAAAATACTGACAAGGGATGATTGGGCCGCGAATACTGTCCTAAGGGACGACGTGATCTCAATCTACACAGATGGCTCAACGACAGAAAGGCGTACGCGATCGGGAATCTTCTCCGATGATCTAAATCTTCTACTGTCTCTTCGACTACCTGACACCTGCACGGTCCTTCAGGCAGAGATATATACCATCTATACTGCCGCGAGAAGAATCCGGGAACTAAATCTCGAAAATTCGACTATACATATATACTTGGACAGCCTTGCATCAATCAAGGCTCTTAACTCCAACGTCATTAAGTCGGAATGTCTTCTCAATTGCATTCAATCGTTGGCACAACTGACACAACATCACGTGGAGTTGATATGGGTTCCAGGACATGAGGGCATCCGGGGAAATTAAATATCTGACGAATGCGCAAACAAAGGGTCGCCCCTGGACTTAACCCTTGCACAAAAGTATATTCACGCTCCCCTGACGACCCTATCAAAACTGATAGATGAATGGGCTCTGAGTGAGACGGAACTCAGGTGGTCAAATATCACCACTTGTAGAATATCGAGACTACTCTGGCCCACTCTGACAACAGATAGGACTCTCTTATCTCTTGATAAGAACTCGATTAGGCTTCTAACTGGTATAATTACTGGGCACTGTATGATTGGACATATGTCAGAACGTATGGGCTACCCAAATCATAGCTACTGTAGAAGCTGCTTAGACGAAGAGGAAGTGGAATCGGTAAAACACCTTCTATGTGACTGTCTAGCCTTACAAGAGCACAGACTACTCTGGGTAGAGCTCTTTTCCATGATCTAGACTGTCTCAGAGATGCGTCACTCATAAACATGAACGGTTTTATTAAAAGCACCGGCTGGTTTACATGGAGAGCGAACGAACCCAGTAGTCAACGAAATTAGGGAGGGTAACCATTCTCTAATAGCTAGGGAATGGTAATTCTAAGGGTATCACAATGGGCCACAAGGCCTCCGAATGAACTCGATTGCTAGCGAGCAACCCACGTAACCTACCTACCTACTGTGTCGTCAGTATCCTCAAAAAATTCATTTGGTAAACGTACTGGGTCTCCATATAGTAAATCTGAAGGTGAAGCCTGCATATCCTCTTTGAAGGCGGTTCTCAGACCAAGTAATACTGTTGGTAATGTATCGACCCATGACGTATTAGGATGGCACATAAGAGCTGTTTTAAATGTCCAATGCCATCGTTCAACCATATCGTTCGACTGCGGATGGTATGCAGTAGTTCTAGGGCGCTTATAACCAGTAAAATTAATCAATGCTTTGAAAAGTGCTGATTCAAACTGGGTACCTTGATCCGTTGTTATTGTTTTCGGACATCCGAATCTTGAT